CAGGCTGGTGCTGAGACCAGAGAAACTGCTTCTTCAGCGGAGAGAAGAGAAAGCTGGAGGGAGATCGTCTTGCTGCCTCCAGCTACCTGGCAGGCCGCGGTAGAGGGGCCAGGGCCGGGCTCCGCTCAGAGGAGCAGAGGAAGGATGAGAAGCAACAGATGCTGGAGGGAGGGAGGGAGGAAAGAAATAAATCTTCACGTTGAGGGTGATGGAACCCTGGAGGAGCAGGAGGCTGAACTAGTGGCCTCGTGGGATGCTTTTTAGCTGGAGTTAGTTCGTGATTGGCAGGTTTGACAAGAAGTGATAGTGTATTGATACAGCATTGCAGAGAACGTCAAGGGTCGTTCACCCATGAGTCGTTGCCAGTAATGCAAGCAGCTACGGTATTAACTTCGTTCCCCCGTTTTTTAAATTAGGCTGTGTTTGCCCATGCTGATTGTCTTGGATCGCTGTTCTAGAGTATCGCTCCTGCGTTGGTTACAAGCTGTTTAATTTTTTTTATAAAAGGTCCTGCTTACCTTCTGGTCTGCTGTTGGCTGTTCTTGTTTTGGTTTTTTGGGTTTTTTTTTTTGTTAATCTGCTTCCGGTATATGCTGGTTTGTTCTTCAGCATAAAAATTCCTTTCGCTCTCTAGTTTTCACTTTGCTGGTGGGTTATAAAGTTGTTCTTGTTGCGTAATAGGTTTTTCTTAAGCTGTTTAATTCAGCCAGCAGGTTTGAGCGGGAAGAGAAATGAATGCTAAATCATTTAGTGTGAGCAAATTTTCTTAAGGGTTTCTATTTCTCGGAAGCTGCGTGTTTTCAGGGGCTTTAGCATTAGAAATATATATAAAACAACTGCTTCTTTACCTGTGCACACTGAGAATACAGAGGAGCTTTTTGGTTTTTTATAATATGGAGGTTTTTTAAATGTGGTTATCTTCCTAGACATGCATCTTACATGTTGCAAGCATATATTCATTTCCTATTTCTGTGACTGCAGTGATTAAATGCTAATTAGCACCATTTCTGAGAGCTTGGCTTGAATTAAATACAGCATGTCTTCACAGGTGGAGAGGTTGTAATTTAAACTTCAGGTCATTCCTGTTTGGTGAAAGAGGTTTTCATAGCCAGGATTTAAAGCAGAGTGACAGACAATGTTGTTTTCCTCTTGGCTTTATCTTCAGATGGCTGCTTGTGTTACCTTATGGGTCTTCTAGTAAACGTTCCCTTGGAAAAAAAACAACGCTGTTTGTTTTCCTCTGTAATTTTGGGTCATCCCACCAAATCTGCAGTCCTGTTATAACAATTGAGATCATTTGGGAAATGCTGGTATATAGAGAATTTTTTCAGAGGAGGTGAACGGGGGTTTCTCCTGGTGAAAGGTGCTGTCTTTGAAGTATCTACATCTATATGGTGATTAACACAGCAAGGCTTTGATTCATGATTACAGCTTTTACATCATGTTAGATCTGAGACAGCTGGGAAGTAGCTAATGTTTTCTTTTCACTAGATTCAATTTTATTGAATTGGGTACTTCAAATTACTAAGGTAAATTCTGATTAAAAAACAATTTTTAAAAAAAAAATTTGAAGTCAGCCTGAAGTGGCACTTTATATTAGACTCGAAGAAGGATTTGTATAAGATGAAACTTTGCTAGCAGTTCATCATGTTTAATTTTTGCAGCCTTCTTGGCCTGTCAGTGAAAAGAGCAACAAACAGATCTGGAGGCTACTTTCTAGAGAAAGCTCTCAAGGGCCATTTCCTGAAACACAAATATCTGCCATATGCTTAAGTTAATGTACCCTGCCTGTTGTGAGTAATACAAAATCGATGTAACTGTATAAATGTGTGAATAAAATTTTGGTTCCAAAATAGGCTGACTTGCAAGATGTTGTATGGAAGCGTCTTTGTTACCAGCCTGCATACACTCCAGGCCACCAAATTAACAGCTTTTGAGATTATACTGGCTTGTTACATAGCGAACAACCGCATGGCCTCCGCCGTGCCGAGGAGAAATCACTCCTGCCCTGTGGAGTCTGTAGTGCCAAAAAAAGAGGATCTCAGCAGGCCGAGGGGGTAGTTCTCTTCTGCGTGAGGCACTAGGTGTTTTCAACTAAACGCTGTGTCGATGCAGACTCCGGGTTCGAGCTGCCGCGCATCCTTCAGAGAAGCAGCGTGCGAGTGCTGGAAAATGCTCCCTTTTTCCGATTGTTTCTTTGCTTTTCCTCGCTCCTGAAAATGGCAGAGATGCGTTTAACTGTGCCGGTTGGCGCGTTTTGGAAGGATCCCCGGTAAACCCGGTGCCATCCCTCCACCACGGCCGCGGGTTTCGGTGCAGGCCCTGTGGCATCACCGCTGGGTGGCATCGCCGCGTCGTTGTGGGGTTCGGGGGGGGGTCTGGCCAGGAACGTCAGAGCGATGCCAGCTGCCCAAACAAGAAAAATAAGCAAAAGAGCTCACTCTGGGCAAAAAACAAAACACGTTAGCTGTGCCATTGTAGTTTTTCTCCTGTGCTTTATATTAAGTAATGCTTGCTTATATCTTTGATGTTAGCACTTTATGCTGTTCCATTCACGCAAAAACTGATAAAACTGATTAAATCAAATGCAGAATACACTCACCCATGCACATAAACAATGCCAATGCTAACACTGGAAAAATACCATGATTCTGTTACTGAACATTGTCATAATATTTACCCTACGAAGAGAAACCTTTATCAAGACTTCAGATTAGAAGAGACAAAGATGCAGCTGGAAGGCTGTGCGAATCTTTTTGCTTTCTAGAGGACTGGGGATAATATCCTCAACGTATATTTCAATGGAATCTACATGTCTGTGTTTTTCAACATATATCATCTCAGTATTCCTATGAGGTTATCTTATCAGTCCTGCTGTTAGAGGAACTAAGATACAGAAAGGCTAATGTGATTTGTGCAAGGATGCTTGGGAGGTCCGTATGCAGAGAATTCAATCTAGATATCCTGACTTACATCTTTGTATGTGGATCACAAAAAAAAAGGGAGTTTGGGGAAGGTTTATACCAATTCTTGCATATTGTGTGATCGCCCTCATGAATTAATGGTACTCTTAAAGCTCATTCAAGGGTTGTATGTTTTTTAAAGGTAGAGTTGCCATTTGGGACTAATCCTGTTCTTGGAAAAAAATGTATTCTACAAAATAGTTGGGTTTTTCTGTCCCTTTCTTTCCCCAACCCCCCTTTTAATTTAAGTTCCCTTTAATAACTGTCTGTATGGTCTATTTTTTTTATCTTATGTCTTCCAGAACAGTTTAATTGGGATGAATATCTGAAAGAGACTGAATCAGTAGCTGCCCCTCTACATTGTTTCAGACAGGTATGCCAGATGCTATTTTGCAAGTGTGTGCGTATGTATGCATGTAACTGGGTGATCCTAGAGCAACTTGTATGTTTAAACTGCTTGCAGACTTCCCATTTGACTTCTTTTGATCTCTAGTTATCAGTAGCTTACGGTTTTGGCGGATGCTAGCTGCTGAAATTTTTCATTCTTTGTTTCCGCCTGAAGAAAAACTTTGAGGGTTTCATTAAAATTGTAGCTTAGGACTCTGTTTTCTTTTTAAGAAAAGACTAAATAATGAAAACAGATAGTCTTATCAGAGTTCAAAAATATTTTCTACTTTTTTGGTGATCGTAGAGGTACTATGGTTTTAGTGAGAATTAAAATTTGGCTGATAGTCAGAGGAGCCTTTCTCCTGCCCGACTTCTGAACAAGTCCTTTCAATTCTAGCTAGCTACCAGATGTATATGGTATATGTGTCTGTGTGTGTAGAGTTTATTAATCACTTTTTTCTGGATCTCTCAAATATGTTAAATTTTGTCTGTTTTTGAGTAGGGTGATTTTTACTAAGGAGTAACAGATGTTGAATAAAATAATAAGGGGAATATGTGGGAATACAAAGGAAATACTGGAGTTATAGCAAAGAGTCTTTAATGTACCACTTGAAGTTTTACATTGTACCCTACAAATTTGATTCCCCCCTGCCTGATGATTTAGTATTGTCCTGGTTTTGGCTGGGATAGAGTTAATTTTCCTCCCAGTAGCTGCTGTCTTTTGGATTTAGTAGGAGAAGAATGTTGACAACATTGATGTTTTCAGTTGTTGCTATGAAATCAAGGACTTCTTCCAGTTTCCCATGTTCAGCTAATGAGCAGGTGGGCAGAAGTTGGGGGGAGCAGAGCCAAGCAGCCAGCCCAAGCTGGCCAGTGGAAATACTCCATACCATGGACGTCATGCTAGGTTTATGAATGGGGGTTGACCGGGGGGCAGGGAGCTTTCTTTCTTGTTTTTGTGGGTTCGAATCTTGTCTCTACCAGGAGTTTGAACTTTTCTGGGAGTTTGGTCTTTTTTGGGAGTTCTGTGAAATTCTTGATTTCCAAATTCTACAGTCACTGTTCAGGGACTGGCTGCGAATCGGTTATTGGGCAGTGAGAAAATTGTATAGTTTGTTTTGCATATTCATTAGTGTCATTATTAGTATTTCCTTTGTTGTCTTACTGAATTGTCTTTATCTCAACCTACAAGTTTTCCCTTTTGTCCATTTCTCCTCCCCATCCTGCTGGGGGAGGAAGGGCAGGGGTGAGCGAGTGGCTGTCTGGTGCTGAGTTGCCAGGTTAAACCATGACAGGTCTGTATTTACAGATGCAGTTAAATCTGCCATCTTGTGTGAGTTAATATCTACCATCTTGTCTGAGCTAATGACCTCCAGTTATTCATCCCTCTGGAGACTGAGCTGACCTCTGCAGGCATCTTTTCCTCTGTAGAGGGAGCTGGGGGACCAGTATTTTCCCAAGCTGAGGAGTGTCTTAGCCGCATAACGTTAAATGGGATGAGTTTTGGTCTGCATGCCTTGACTGTGTTAGGAAGATAGATGCTGAAGGAATTGGATAGTTCAGGTTCATAGAACTGTAATAGGTGTGACACACAGTGTGTGTCTGGTTTAGTGAAGTGGGCATGTTCAGAAATGTATCTTCTAGAGTTTGTTGGTAGTCTGGTGGTACTGTAAATGATACTGGCCTCCAGTGGTGACTAAACAAAAAGCAACGTGAACAGAGTAGTCTGAGGAGGAGAGGAACCATCACTCACTGAATCTGAAGTTGTTACAGGAATGGAGAACAGAGAGAGAAATAGAGGTGGTAGCATTTCCTTGTCCTTGCTCTTGAATCTTGTCTTGCTTTGTGGAGATGAAGATAAAGGACAAAGAGCTCCTCGTGTGCTGCTTTCCATGAGAGAGCGCTAAGAATAGCAGTATCCACACCTCTGTTTGGGTGGAGCTTCAGGAATTAATTCTACAGTATGTGTTTTTCATAGTGGGTAACAGCTCAAGGCAGAGACCCCAGATTCTGCTTGGGGTAGAGGCAGAGGGCAGTAGCATATCCCTTGGTCATTCTGAGGTGAGTGTGATGCTCACAGACCGTATACCACCATGACCAGAGTCTATGCTCCTGGGAGATGTAGGTTCTGCAGAAAGCTGCTCAGAAGCCTTTACTCCTGCCTTTCTTGCATCTTACTCTTGCCTACTAATGCTCAAGAGGTCCAAACTGAGCAACTGAGTCACACCTTAAGTAAAGGCGCTTCAGTGACATGCATTGGCTCAGACAGATAAATCCAAGTGACCTGGATTGCATGAGGAGTGTGTGGGTTGGAAAGAAGAGTTTTAATTTCTGTGCACAGCAAATTTGAAAACAATTTGCATATGCAGACTTTCAGTATTTCTAAGAGTTGACCTTTAAGTAGAAAGTGATATGCAATATGAATTAGTGCAGAGCTAGCTCCTCTCACTACATAATGTTTGCAGATTTTGGAAACTAAACTGCTTGAGCTTTGTGTAGGACTAATTTGACTTTCATTGGGTTACATGAATTGTACGTGCCGTTATCACTCTGTGTAATGCAAAGAAATACACTGCTGTGGCCTGCCAGAAAACAAAATAGCAGAGGGAAGCTCAATTTGACAATTACATCCAGAATTTGTGACTTGTGGGAATTCTACAAAGTTTAAATTTTGTAGTAATTAAAAATGACCTGGGGAGCAATAAATTAAAGCTTCTGCCATAAATTGATACAGGCACAGACAGCTAATGGAAATTGATAAAAGTATTTATCTTAATTTAGAAGGTATTTTATCTGTTGCTCTAAGTTGTTAGTAATTACTACTTAAAATTTTGATGCATTCCACATCCCATTCTCTCACCCTGAAACTTTTTTCAAGCAGTTGAAAATTTTAAATAAAAAAGCTCAGCCCCTTGTGGTTTGAACAGAGCATAAAACAAGGCTATTACTGGGCTGGTTTTGTTATTTTCGTGCAAGTAAGGACTGACATGGAGGAGTTACTTCTTTTAGTAAATGCCTTGAGTTGTTGATATTTAAACAAATTCACCTTTTCTACAAACAAACAAACTCCCCAACTTCTCAATTTCAGTTGCCTTTCATGGTTGTAGAAAATAACAGCTTGACAAGCAGTATCCTGAAATTGAATTACCCTTTAAATTTAATATGCTCAGGCTCCCCTTTCAGACAGCCTGCTGTCTAAATGCAGCTTTGGCAGATGCTACACTCGGCGTTCACTGAATATTGCTCGCTTCTTTGTTTTTTTGGGCTCAGGCTCCTCCAGGGCTCCTGCTGTTGGTCTAGGGTGTGTTGTAAATAGTGCACCTGCACACCATAGCAAGTAGAGCAAGATGTATTTTAAAAAATTGTGGTAGAGACAAAACATCACTAGTACTTCTTGCAGTAGCAGACTTCTTCAGCCTTTTCCTGTGTACCCAGGTGGGTAAGTGCACCCTTATCTGCTTACTGTGGGATCCCCACCTGACGTGGTCAGGTGGGCACGGGAAGGGACATACAAATCTTGTGAGCATGAATGCCCATGGTTTTTTGTTTTTCTACCTGCCTCTTGTATTAGGATTCAGACTGTGGTAGTCTATATGAGGTAGCTACTGGGTTTAAATGTCACGGGGAAGGCTGCTTACAGTTCTCAGCATCTGCGTTCATAGAATCACGGAATGGTTTGGGTTGGAAGGGACCTTAAAGATCACCTAGTTCCAACCCCTCTGCCATGGGCAGGGACACCTTCTACTAGACCAGGTTGCTCAAAGCCGCATCCAGCCTAGCTGTGAACACTGCCAGGGAGGAGGGGGCATCCACAGCTTCTCTGGGCAACCTGCGCCAGGGCCTCAGCAGCCTCATAGGAAAGAAGTTCAAGAGCAGCTTTGTACTGAAGGAGTTGCAGAAAAGGGCTTCCAGGCTGATAGGAGAATAGTCATCCTCTCCTAAGAGAAACTTTAGTGCTTGGCTTATTCAACTTGTTGAAAGAGTACTGAGTAAAGGGTTGAGTTTCCCTCTGTAAATACATTGTAGATTTTGTTATTATTTGCAAAGGTGCAAAAAGAATTTAAGTTCAGTGATCGCATTGGCAAAAATTTCCATGGATAAATTTAGGCTGGAAATGAGGAGACATTTAAATAGAATCGCGAGATTCTGGAATCATCTTTCTGCATGACTAGGTGAGGCATTCAGTCCCAGTTAGTGTCAATACAAAGACTGGAACATCATTTGATGATGTTCAAAACTACAGTACTACAGTAGGCAAGTAATCAAACTGTGATCCAGTCGATCTCTGCCAGTAGCATGTTGGCACAGGATTAAAAAATACTCTTTCCTCTCTCGTTCATCTTTACCTTCTGACAGAAAGCTCAGCTCAAAGACCATGTTGCATTTGTCACGTTTCTTTTCCCCGTGCCAGTGTCTTTTTCGAAAAATCTGAGGTCTGCTAATTAAATTGGCATTTCATTGTATGTGTATGAATGTATTCAGTTCTCTATGAGTAACCACAAGCTGCAATTCCTGCCTTAGCACAGAAGTTTTATGTGACTTTAGGACTGTCTGTTTTCTTTCTGTAAAACGCAGTTAACACTAATTCCTTTTTCTGTCTTCTTTCGTTGTATTGTAAGCTTTTTTTAATGCAGAAACTCTTTCTTGCCTTGAGCTCTTGTAGTGCCTATTGCAGTAGGGTCCAAATTTTATTTGAATTTCCAAGACATTATTATAATGAGAAAAAATATTTCTTGAATTTGAAAGCAAATAAATCTTGTGGGGGTTTTTTTGTAAGTGAATGTCATGTTTCCTCATGTCCTTGTTTTCCCTTCACTTCAAGTATTAATTGCTTCTTCCCCATCTTTATGTCCATATTTTCAGCCTGATTGCCTTGTTACCTCTCTTAGCAGTGCTTGTCTTTTTAAAAAGCAGCCATGTTTACCCAGTAGAAACATCAAGTATCTGAAATGGTAGCTGTTGGGAGGTTATCCAGCCTCCTTTTACTCACTCTGCTAAATGCTCAAAGTTCAAAGGCTTCTTTATATTTACTAGTTGTATGATATGTTTGGATGAATGAAAGCTGTATATTGAACTGGCTGGTAAAATTAGCAATGCTAACAACAATAAGAAAAAGTCTTCTACCTTTTATTGTAGTCTAGAATCCCACCTACGAACGATTTCAAAGTTGGTATGAAACTGGAAGCCCGTGATCCTCGCAATGTTACCTCGGTTTGTATAGCTACAGTCATTGGAATTACTGGTGCCAGGCTAAGGTTGCGGCTGGATGGAAGTGACAACAAAAATGATTTTTGGAGACTTGTGGATTCCTCGGACATACAGCCCATTGGGACCTGTGAAAAGAAAGGGGGCATGCTCCAGCCTCCACTTGGTAAGAAACAAAGCTTCTGAACTAAAGCGTGTGGAGCATTGCTTGCATGAAGTCGATTGCACCTTTTTGTCTTGGCAACTTCGGTGGTACTAACAGTTCACTAAACCGTTATGTAATTGAAAAAGAAGTAAGCAAACTAACTCAGGCTAAGTGAATTGTGGCTTTTTCTGCTTTTTGAATTCTTGTGACATAAGAATGAGGAGAATAATTCCTTTGAGTTCTGTTAGTTTTTTAAAACAGTCCCTTAAGATTAAAATGGAGTGTCTGGCAGCTTTCTTAATGATGAGATACACTGTGGCGTGCCCATTCTAGCAGCGTTCCCTCATACACACCCTGTCTTACGAGTGTGTCTGGGTGCAATGCTTTCTTGCTTGACGCTGTGCATGTCCCTTTTAGTAGATCTCGGTCGGAGCTGAGCACTGGGGAAGGCAGACTTGCCTTTCCCCTCTGCAGTGAGCCGGAGCAGCCCACTGGAAGGTGCTGGCTGTTCACCGACCGGTGCAGTGCTCGGCTGGGCTGCAGGGGCTGTGTGGGTTCTGGGCAGCCCGAATGTTCCCTCGGGCACTGGGCAAACTGGTTGTGGTTAGGGAAAGGCAGCACAGGGTGGGTTAACGATGGTGTTGCAGCATTCTGCTCTGAGGCAGGAAAAATAGCACTCCAAGAGCTTTCGCAGACCGCAAGCTTATATTGCATGCGGTTTTCATCTCCTCAAATTGACGCATGTTGGGGGGTGTCTGATCAGTTTGTCATGAGTAGTTTGTGAGCATGAAGAATACTGATGAACGAGATGTAGCTTTCCTGGGCTTGGCAGTAGTATGCAAAATTTCTTTTGCCTTCCCTGAGCAATAAGGGCGACGTTAAGTGTCTCCTCAAACTGAGAAATAGTGCTTGGGCTTAGTCTTATTGAGGAAGTTTATTAAATAGAAACTGTACAAAGGAATTCCTTGCTGTGTGATGAATAGTCACACAGAGGTGACTTTGACTAGCTGCTGGGGATGATATGTGTGGTTATCTTTGCTGTGATTAACCTGTATATTTAAATCTGCATTCTTGTACCATATTTGTTATAGCTTAAACTTCTAGGTATGGAAATCTTTTAAGAAACACATTTTGCACATTGGTCTGAAAATAGCTTTGCTTTTAAAAAGAAGGAAAAATAATGACCGACAGTTATCTTAACCCCCCCCCCCAAAAAAACTCACACAACAAAC